TTCTTCTGTTTTCTTTTAGTTTTATCTTTGGTTATCTGGACGTCTCTGTTTTCGAAGCACGTCTTGGCCATCTGTATGCGCTCTTCATTTTCCACCTCTCTTCCTAGAAAAAACATTAAATTCATGAGACGGTCTTTTGCGTTAAGAGTCACAACAGATACGCCGCCTAGAGGAATTGACGAGGTCATTGTTCGTTGCCATATTCGCAATGTCTCTTCTGGCAGGGAAGATTCCACCAACTCAAGTTTGGCCTGATGGTATCTTGTCAAGTACTCATCTGCGTGCTCTGCTTCCTTGTTGATAGCCTCTTCTGATTCTCCTGCTTCGATCATCAATCCCTGTAATTTCTGGCTTAGCTCGTTAAGTTCACTGGCTTTTTCTCGAATCAATGCAAAACTGACTTGCATGGAGGTTAAGTCTGGCGATTCTTTCCTTTTCTCATTTTGGAAGGAAGTATGTGCTCTCGTAAACGCGGATCGCGTTATCTTCTGTGTTAACCTTATTTTATCCATCGTGTCGGGGTCACTTCCCAATAGTCTCTTGTCACTGTACAATGGTTGGCAACGAAAAAATCGATTGTCCTGTCACGGTCGCCAGAATGTTGCAACCAATTCTTTGTGGTAGGAAGTGACGGTTATACACACTTGATACAGTAGAAATACAATATTTATTACGAGTAACCTCTCCGACATATATATCCTTACAGTCATAGAACCAATAGTAGTATCGAGAGTGTCGAGCGCGCAGTAACAGAAAATGGACTCCGAAAGGAGGGGGGGCGCGCTTCCCTAGACGCACGTTTTGGCGCGTATTCAACATCTCTCCCACCTTGAGTTGCATAGTATAGGGTACAGGGGCAACTCAACCTATCCTAAAAAACAGGAGACAGAAAAAAACAAAATGATTAAAAGCCAAGTCGCACAGGCTTCTTGACCGTACGACCGCTTCGTGTCTTATGACTCGTTTCTTCTTTGGGTGCAGGTTTCGATTCGTCGAGTATTTTCTGTGGCGGTTCCTGAGCTTTTGACGTCTCTAGTAATTGGTTGATCTCGACATCGGAGTGTCTCACTTCCAGGGATATCAATCTTTGTACCGGCCGGATTAATTCACCCTTTGCAGTGGTTAGTTTTACCACGCGGACTGATCCATCCTTTCCTAAGAAAATTTCTTTGACTACGGCGAGCGGCCAATCTAAACGCTTCTGCAAATCGTTCCCGATGAGTACAACATCGCCAACAGCGACTTGAGCGTAGTTATTTTCGCACTTGGTTCGTCGGGATAATTGTCCTAGATATTCAATGCGGAAGCGCTTTCTTAGTTCTTCCCTTAATCGTTGACGATAGCGCAGCCTTTTTGCGAAGTGAGAACTGTTAATCTGATCTAAATCTGGAACGCCACTTTCTTTTACATCTTTAATAAACATGGCGGGAGTAATAGCCGCAACTTCTGTGTTTTCTTCGGCTAAGTAGATAAGCGGTCTTGAATTCATGATGGCCTCGCAGTCGCATAGAACCGTGGTCATTTCTTCATAATTCAAAGAAGTCTTTCGTAACGTTCTCTTCAAGAGTTCCTTCAGCATGCGGATAAGACGCTTTCACCATCCTCCCCACCAAGCAGCTGAAGGAGGATTAAAATGCCATTCCATTTCATTAAGAGCACAATAGTTGGAGATCTTTTCCCAGTTGATCTTTCGTAGCAGATTTGCAGCTCCTACAAAGTTTCTGCCATTGTCGCTGTAAATCACAGAGGGTCTTCCTCGACGAGCTACGAACCGTCTGAAAGCTTCCAAAAATTCCTCTGTTGACAAAGACGAGACTAGTTCCAAGTGGACCGCACGATAGACAGCACATGTGAATAGACAGATGTAAGCTTTACATCCCTCCTTTAAGAAAAGAGGTCCAGCATAATCGATGCCCGTTACCTCGAATGCCGAAACATCTCTAACTCTGTTTTGAGGTAACGAGTCAGGGGGTACCTCTAGGTTTTTCGCCATGTGTCTGCGACAGGTTGTGCACTTGTGTATGACAGAGCTTACGGTGCGGCGGTAGAATCCAATATTTTTCCCGTAGATTGTTCATCACAATGTTAATGCCAGCGTGGTTAAGTTTCAGATGTAGATAGTAAATAATCTTTTTCGTCAGTGGGTGTGCTGGATCCAATAGTATAGGGCACCTAAAATGGAATGTGTCTTGACGATTGGAGATTACTGTCCTTGTTCGCAAGAGTCCATTATGTTCAAAGACATTCAACCCACGCAAACGGGGATCGTTCCCCCCCCACGAAAGATTCCTTTTGAGCCAGCTTGCAAAGAAGTAATTCAGCGGCAACAATCTCTTTTGCACTTAACTCTTGCTCCCTGGTCACGGAGATCCCGCGACAACCGTTTAAAAATCTTGTTATCCACGCGACCATGCGTAAAATCTTGGGGTAAGACGAGAATCTGTGTAGATGGTATCTACACAGGATATCCTCTTCGCTGGAAACCTTCGTGGAGTTGACCATAACGATCCCGCTTATGGGGGCTTCGAAGGTAGTTTTCTTCGATTGTCTAGGGGTCTTACGCAACTCCATATTTATCATTTTCTCGTTGATTTCACCCTCTTCTGTAGACCATCGATCGGGGGGGAGTTTCAACCACGCGGGCTCCTCCCACCATCTGTACTCAAAAAACTTTCTCGTATCACAGCCTCGAGAAGGTAAGTCCGCAGGATTCATCTCCCCAGGAACGTATCTCCAGGAACCAACTTCAGCAAGTCTTCTTATTTCTTGGACGCGGTTCCACACAAATACAGCCCACTGTCTTGTCTGACGTATCCAAGTTAGGACAGTGGTCGAATCGCCCCAGAAATATATTTTGATGTCTCGGTAGTTGGTGGCCTGGATAAAAGAGTGCATTAGTCTAGCTCCAATAGAGGCGGCCAACAGTTCGAGACGAGGTATAGTCTTCTTGCCTTTCGGGGCTACTCTTGACTTAGCTTCGATAAGATGGACTTCAACCCCTGCGTCTGCTTTTACTCTTGCGAAAAGCGCAGCCGCGTAGGCATCCTTGCTAGCATCCACAAAGACATGAAAGCATAATGATTCGGTATTCCTTTCTTCTCCAAAAATCCATCTAGGGACTTTCAACATGCTGAGGAGGTCCAGTTGTCGTGTCCATTCTATGAATTCGTTTTTGCTGTCGGAATCGATCTCGGTGTCCCAATCCATATCTTGATTCCAGAGACGTTGTAACATCAACTTTGGCTTTAAGAGCACTGGACAGACGAGCCCGAGAGGATCGAACACTTGCTGTACTCGTGATAGCACTTCTCTCTTTGTTATCTTCTCCGGGATCGGCCGTGAGGGGAAACCTGACAATGAGAGTGTATCACGTTTGGTGTCCCAAACGAGTCCGAGTATGGTTGATCGATTCTCTGAGTTCATTCCCGTATACTTCCATCCTCTCAAATCGAATTTTGCTTGACTCAGTAGGGAACTGGCTTCTTTCTGAAAGATCTCGAAATCAGAATGAGAATCAACGCTAGTAATACAATCATCGACATAGAAAGACTTTGTTAATTTTTCGTAAGTTGATTTCTGGCATTGCGAAACATCGGACTGTAAAGCCTGTTCAAGATGCATATCGATAGTAGCTCCCAAAAGATATGGGCTGCTTGTTACGCCGAATACGACCCGCCGATGACGATAAGTCTCCAATTCTCCATTGGTACCCCACCACAAGAACCTCAGAACATCCCGATCTGACGAGGAGATGCTAATTTATAAGAATGCTTTCGCAATGTCTGCGGTCACTCCTGTCTTTCTTTCTCGAAACCGATGTAACAGTACCGGAATATGTTCAATGAGGTTAGGACCGGTTTCTAGACATTGGTTGAGCGAGGATGAGTCCTTGGTCCTTGCTGAGGCGTCGAAAACCGGTCGGATCCTAGTGGTTCCTTCCTTCTTAACAACTGGTCTGTGAGGCAGGTAATAGCTTTCTTTTGGGATTTCGTGTGTAGGCACTCTCTCGATGACACCTTCGTCGAGCCAGTTGTGTAAGACTGAGTTATAGTCTTCAAACAAATCTTCATGTCGTAGTTTCTTGGTGACAGCTTTTAGTCTCCTCTCCGCGACATCTCGGTTATCTTGTAAAGGTGGATGATTTTCCTTCCATGGTAGAAGAACTTCGTAGTGACCTTCATCGTTGACTCTGGTTGTTTCTTGAAACAGTTGTTTGATTTCAGTCTGACGGGCCTCTTTAGTAATGCTTTCTATTGGGTCAGTGATACCCAATGTGTCAAGTCTCCACAGGTCCGACACACTTGCCTCTTGTGTGAGCATGGATATAACCATTAGAGCTGCATCTGACTCGCTGTCATCATCAAATTTTCTGCCCAAAAGAGTCCATCCAAGTTTGGTTTCCAGAGCCGTTATTCCTTGATCAATCTGAAGTATTTTTCCAGTAAGTATTTTGCCAGCAACATCAGCCCCTATTAACAATGAGATAGGCGCTTCTTCTTCTCCAGTATCATGTAGATGTATATCTTTTCTGCTAAGCATTTCCTTCCATGGTCCGCTACTCATCCTGGGCGTATCTTGACAAATGACACCCTATTGCAAAGCCACGAAGTCGCATTTGTACGTGCCATCTAAGTTGCTGACATAGATTCGACAAGCCTTGTGTCTTTGGGGTTTGGTTTTGCTTCCGCCAAACAGCAAATGTATCATCGTCTGCTCGCCTACAAATTCATATCCTAGCGTTTTCGTTATTCCCTCTGAAATGTAAGATCGATGTGAACCGGTATCTATGACAGCTCGGATTTTTGCCTCACTTTTCGGACCATTTATCTTAACCTTTAATATCGGCAAAAAGATTTTAGTACTTGACGAGATATTAGCGAGACAACTGTTACCCTCATTGAAATCTAGATTGGTAGGCTTTTCCTCATTGGCCTGTTTTGACTCGCTTTTATTAGATAAGTTTCTACATACCAAGAGAAAATGTCCTTTTCCGCACCAAGGGCATCTTTCTCTGCTGCGACATTTTAAGTAGCTATGTCCCACCTTTAGACATTTGTAGCAGTCTTTCCTTTCTTTTATGACCTTCATCCTCTCATCCATATTCATGCTTCTTGTTTTTTCGCAGCGCGAACTGTCGTGACTCTCTTTACAAAATAAACATTGTAGGTTTGTTTCTTTCACGGCTAACAAACCAGCTGCTGTGGCGACATCCGGATCTCGATCTGGATCATTCTTCTGTTTTCTTTTAGTTTTATCTTTGGTTATCTGGACGTCTCTGTTTTCGAAGCACGTCTTGGCCATCTGTATGCGCTCTTCATTTTCCACCTCTCTTCCTAGAAAAAACATTAAATTCATGAGACGGTCTTTTGCGTTAAGAGTCACAACAGATACGCCGCCTAGAGGAATTGACGAGGTCATTGTTCGTTGCCATATTCGCAATGTCTCTTCTGGCAGGGAAGATTCCACCAACTCAAGTTTGGCCTGATGGTATCTTGTCAAGTACTCATCTGCGTGCTCTGCTTCCTTGTTGATAGCCTCTTCTGATTCTCCTGCTTCGATCATCAATCCCTGTAATTTCTGGCTTAGCTCGTTAAGTTCACTGGCTTTTTCTCGAATCAATGCAAAACTGACTTGCATGGAGGTTAAGTCTGGCGATTCTTTCCTTTTCTCATTTTGGAAGGAAGTATGTGCTCTCGTAAACGCGGATCGCGTTATCTTCTGTGTTAACCTTATTTTATCCATCGTGTCGGGGTCACTTCCCAATAGTCTCTTGTCACTGTACAATGGTTGGCAACGAAAAAATCGATTGTCCTGTCACGGTCGCCAGAATG